AGAAAAGGCACACGCACACGCGCACACACACACACACACACACACACACACACACACACATCGTGTTCAATCGCCAAGTTTAACCTGGCTGTGCTACCCTTTTGGTTTGGCATCGTCTGTGTTTGGAAATGAAGGCGGGAGAGAGGGAGGAATGGAGGGGGAGAGCGGATGGAGGGACGACAGGGCGAGTGAAGGAGGGGAGGTTAAAAGGGGGGACTAGGGTACCTACGGTGGGAACAAGGACGTATGCAAGAAACAGAAGGAGCGGGAAGAAGGGAGGGATGGAGGAGTAGTGTGGATGTTCATGTAAAATCCCACAAGAATAACAAACACAGGAAAAAGATGGGAAGCAGAAAGAAAAAGAATATGTCGGGAAAAGTAATAAAAATAAAGAAAGTGGGGGTGAAAAAAGTAACCTGGTACCTCAGTCTGAATCAGAGTTCATGAGCTACTGTCCCTGAAGTAGAGTTGTTCTGATACCGGTATTGTGTATCGGTGAGTATGTTATCTGTGCACCGATCCAATACCCCGTAATTTATCACCCCCGAAACGGGACACTGCTCCTCCCCAGCAGTTACTGTCATGACCCACCCTACTCTGACTCTGACAGAGCGTTTAACCTGAGCCAGGCCTTACAACAGAAATCATACATGATGAGTAGTATACACTTAAAAAAGAATAATATCAGATGTATTTATTTTTAAACGCATATGAATCAGATTGGCATACTCGGTATCGGACGATATGCAAAGTTCAGGCATCAGAAGCGGCATCGGGAAGGAAAAAATGGTATTGGAACATCTCTACTCTGATGGCAGTGAACGTCATTATTATTTTTGCCCTGTTATTCACACTGACGTTCAGTGATACTCAGTCCGGCAATTGGCTATCAATGTCTTTTATTAAAAAATAAATCTGGAATATCATTTTTTTTCTCAACCACTTTAGGTTCAACAAAACAATTTGGAAGCAATAAAAATATTACATTATAGTATTGCAGGACCATCACCAAGCATCAACTGTGTGTGTGTGTGTTATGTGTGTGTGTGTGTGTGTGTTTGTGTAGTTCAGCTGTGACAGTAATTAAGAGGAGAAGTTGCAACGTACACAACATCTCTGCCTTGGCCTGACAGTTGTATTCTACAGGGAGGTCCGGCAGGATCTGAGGGCGGGGTGTGTGTTTCTTTGTGTTTGTGTGTGTTTGTGTGTGTATGAAATGAAAGCCGGTATCGTGGTAGAGCAAAACACCAGAAAACTTACACTCAGTACACAATTAAAGGCTCTGCACTGGAACAACTGAGTGAAGTTGTCCACTTTCTTTTAAACAGTATTTCTTTTTAGTGTACATTGCACTCAGGAAACCACATTCTGCACTCGCAGGTCCTTTTTTATACAACTGGAATATGAAAGAATATTTAAAAGACTGAAACTTTAAACTGTCTTTGCTGCATAAAAAGAGATTCTGGAGTGACTTATTGTGAGTCGCCATGTTATATCATGACTTATGTATCTCAGTTTAAAAGATAAATATGGATGAAAAGAGCAGACTGTCAGCAGGTTTATCCGGATCCTCAGATGCCTCTGTGTGTGTGTGTGTGCGTGTAGGTGTGTGTGTGTGTGTGTGTATGTGTGCGTGAGTGCTTGGCTTCAGTTGTACAGAACCACTGTGGAACTGCTTTACATTGACGACTCCTAGCCTCATTAAAACTTCATAGATCTGTGAGCACCGTTGAGGAGACAAAGGAGAAGGTATCGTCTTACACACACACACACACACACACACGCACGCACACACAACCACAAACTCTCTGTCGCTGCCATACACATACATACCATTTCTTTTTTCTCTTTTGTATGACCACACACCAGCATTCAGAAACTCTCCCTTCCTGCAAATGCCTGACACACACACACACATACATAACCATTTCTTTTTCTCTTTGTATGACACACAACCACATCAGAAACTCTCCTTCTCGCAAATGCCTACACACACACACACACACAACAGCACACATTTCCCAACTATCGGGGCACTTGTGTTAAATAATTAACAGTGTGAGATTAGTCCGTCAGCCTTGGGGCATGGAGGTCCATCGATTCCCCAGAATGCATTTTTAATGAGCCGCCAGCCGGCATTCATTTCAGCTAGCCAGTGTCCGTGGAGGGCCTTCTGACACACACACAAAGTCCAGGCTTAGCGCCAGGGGAGACAATTAACATACACATAAACACAACAGCAGCAGCACCACTGCACTGCACAGTGAACATCACCTTGACGACAGCAGCAAACCAACATCTTCTGAGCTCTTAAAGTTGTTTCACTTTGATCGAGCATGAGCACTGCTGAGCAAATACTGTGTTTTCTCAACTCACCGCTGTGTGACAAGAAGCTCGGCAGTGATTGTCACCTCTGTGCCCAGGATCGCCACGTTTTAGAGCATGTTTGGTGGATGGCATCGTTTGAAAAGCACCGCAGAGCCTTAAATACCCAGCACACACTAGTTTAAAGACTTTGCACATCAGGGAGCTGATAACACACTGATTCCTTTAATTGAACTGGTGTGCAACCTCAATATACACAACCTAAATATCTCGACACACACATGTTCAGAACAATGAAACTGTGTTTTTTATCTTTGTGTGGTTGTCTGGACCGTCATTTTCATTTCATAAAATAAAAGAGGAACTGAAAGCAAAAGAGCAGAAAGAGATGTATGTGTTTCTCCAAAAGCTGTTTTTTTTCACATCGTCATATGTGAAGGATGAATCATGAGACATAACACAAAGTGTAAGAGGAATGGCCAACACGTTCAGATCCAACTGATGTTGAAATTTTGTCAGCTGTTGTTTTGGTGGGTTTAAGACACATTTAATCAGAAAACAGAAAATCTCTTTTCACTGTTGTTAGCCTCTATGCTAAAGCTCTGACCATGTGACCTTTGCAACACACTGTAGAGCAAAAGAGGGACGTGTGTGTGTTTGCATGTGTTTGAGGGAGTGGACGGACATCTCGAACTTGTCCTACCTTTCCTGTCTCTCTCTCAAAGTCGACATACTCCCTTGTAGGAACCTGCCTCTGTTCTCCGTGCAGGTTGGCTGGAAAGAACTGGAGAGAGAGGTTGGTACCTGTAGCTACAAAGGCCTGTTGAGAGAGAGAGACACAGAAAGAGAGAGAGAGAGAGAGAGAGAGAGAGAGAGTTGAGTTTTTGAACAATTATTTATTCAGATAAAAATATATCTACATTTACAATAATTTGCAACAAAGGTAATCACAGACTAAGATGCAAAAATAATAAATTAAATTAAAGCAACACATCAGTTCCAAATCCTTTAGGGTAAAAAGTACGTCTTGATAATCGCACACATTCTAAATTTTAACATATTTATATTATAACAATTTATATTATTTCATTATATCATATTCCATTTCTGCTAAAAGATCCTCCTAAATGTTACACACTGGAATTTAAGTGATTTTTGGCTGCGAGATTTCAAAATAAATACAGAACACAGAATACAGAAGTCCAAAATTCACTAGAATTTTACTTCTGCTTTGGTCTCCACCAACTGCTGAAAAACCTCTGAAAAGGTCCCTTAAGCTGCTTCACCTATCAGCTGTTTATTTCGGCTCTGGCTGTTTCAGTGCACAGCTGCTTGCTTGAGCTTTCAGCTCTTATTTAGGCTTCGGCCAAGGGAGCACACATTTAAAAGAAAGTAGAGACGCACAATAGACAAACTCCTGCTTCTCATGGGACCGATACCGTTTAAGTTTAAAAAAAAGTTTATAAACCTGGCAGTTTTTACCATTGAGGTAAGAAGGCACTAAGATATAGTGAGCAAAGATGGATTGTTTAATATTCCGTAGCTCTGATCTAACCAAATCTTAATGACATCACTGTTGTTAACAACAACAACAAGCAACAACAGGTCTGATTCTTCAAATGTTAATTTAGTTTTTTTTGGTTCATCACAAAACTTGGCTTTCATAGAACATAAAGGCTGTCAATCATTTTGCATAAGAATTCAAAATAAATTATTATTATTATGGACCGATAATTCATCATCTGTAATTTAATTATCCAGATAATTCAGAATAATTTAATTTACCCATTATCGGCTGAGGTTTCATAGAAATGTTTCTAAAGGGTTTATCTCTCTGTTTCTTCAGAGTCTAAAAGCTCTCCTCTGAGAACGAAAGCACAGAGTGAACCACTGCTCTCCTCACACACACAAAATCACACCATACTGTAGCTTTCCTCATTTTTTGATTTTTGTAAAATGGCTTCTTGCTCTAATGGGAGCATTCTTATCACGATAAGCACACACACACACACACACATATAAGATGAAAATCAATAGAATGCATTTCTCTGTTGCAGTCAGAAAGCAATGAATTAGAGAGAGGCAGAAAATCAAGTTAGAAAATGTCTGATTTTTATGCGTATCTGTGTGTGTGTGTCTATTGTCTTTGCGTGTGTGTGTGCATGGCGTGTTGTGTTTGCTGAGACAGATCAATACTAAGGGCATTAGGGCTGCGACTGAGCTGGAAGCATATGAATTATGCACCCTGTCAAGTCTGTCCCTCATCAGAGAGTGAGAGGCCAAAGGAGAGGAGGGAGGGAACAACAGTGAGTGGATGAGAGTGAAATAAAGAGAGGAGAAAGCTGAAAATGACTAAGTGTGTGCATGGACACACAAAGAGGAAAACCTTCTTTCACACACACACACACACACGTATAAACACACACACACTCGCAGAAACGAGAGCTCAAAGAACACCCGAGTCATCATTTCTGCTGTATTTGAAGTATTGGATTACAACCATCTGATACTCATTTGCTGCCTACTACTGCGGGAGAAAAAAAAGAGGAGGGAAGGAGAGGCAGAGAGTGGGGAGAGATGGAGGGAAACTGAAAGACAAAGGGGGGAAGAAAAAGAGAAGGAGGCACAGAGAAATGGAGGAAATGAGAAGGAGGAAGAGAAATGAAGGGAATGGTAGTAAAGACAGCGTGATAAATGTGAAGAAAGTCAGACAAATAGAGAGAGAATGAGAGTGAGAGAGAAAAGGAATGGAAGTGAGATGAAGAGAAAAAGACTAAAGACAAAGACTGACAGAGCAAAGGAAATGAAATAAAGTGGAAAGACAGAGAGAAAGAGAGGGACAGAAAGATGGGAGAAGAGTGGGAAGTGAGACGAGTGCAGCATGAAAATCAATAGCAGTTTAGAAAGCGACTCATCTCTAATGAGCTACGCTGAAGATAATTTACTTTGAATTATTGTCCCATTTATCAGATCAATCCTGAACATTTCAGAGTCGCACAGCTATTTGTGTGTGTGTGTGTGTGTGCGCATGTGATGTTTTGGAATTCCTAGAAATACACAGCTGCCTAATTGTATTTTTATATGACATTTATATTGCAAAAATAAAAATAACTTAAAAATGTTTAATACAATCCTCATGCACCGCTTTTTGTGTTATGTTGTTTATTCTTACTGTTTGAATATTGGACATTGTGCCATTATCTGTTATATCGTCCAGAATATATAGAGCATATGCATTCATTTTATTATTTTTACCCTTAAACAAAATAAAACCATGAAAAGAATAGTATTTAGACAGTATCTTTGCTGTAGCTCGCATTTGGAAAACATTAACATAATACTGTATGTATAGAATAAAGTGTGTCTTTTATTTTCTGCCCTCTTTAACAGGCCTGTTATTTATTTACTTAACCCACTTCTTGTGTAAATAACAATTTGTTCTAAACTAACATGTCTGGTAAAATGAATATTGAAGAAATTACTGGTTATGGAAATTAAATATGTTTGATGTGGAAGTTATATTTTTATTTTATTTTATTGATCAGTCAGTCGGGAATTAGCGCCGATTTGACAAGAGATGTTTAAAGGGATTAAGATTTTTAAAGATCCCTTCCAAATATTGCCATACATATAAAAAATACTCTAAAATACTGCTTGGAAAGATAATTTGAGTCTGATGTGTTTTTTTCAACAAAAAGGTTTTATCACTCTTGTGTCACATATTGGACGACAACTGGTTGTGATGTCACAATGTACACGTCTTAAACTTTCCCCCCTTCAGCAGATGAACGTGAAAACAACTGTCTACTGTCAAACTCTGCATCAAGCTCAAATCAGCGGAGCTTCTGTTCAGCCGTCTCGTCTATAAAAAGTGGTCCTTGACAGCACGTTTGAGTCTCATTGTGTCGGTTAGTCGTTCACACTGACCATGAAAATAGCAGGAGGTCTTTAGCGGCGTCTGGCCGATAGATAAATCAGCGGCATGATGTCACACCTGCCATCAAACCATTAAAACCGTGGCCATCAATTCTCACAGCAGAAGAGGCTTATAAATACAGTGAGGACAGACAGACGGACACATCATGTCCCACTAAAAGATGGTAAAACTAGATGTACCTCCCCCTCCCTCCCCCTCCGTCCCTCTCCCTCTCTGCCTCTCTCCCTCTCCTGCCATGATGACAGCATGTTTGTGAAAAATACCTCGAGGATGACTAAGACGGCAGAAGTTGCCCTGTGTTTGTGTGTGTTTGTGCCAGCAGCCTAAAGGCTTCGCCCGACTTCACCTTTTGTCGAGGACATAATTTAATAGTAGTTTTTTCAGACTTCACTCTCTAAGAGTGCAGTAATGAGAATATGAACGTGTGCACACTTGCTTTAAAGTTAGAAACCCGCTCGTCACAAACGCTACACCTCCTATTTTTGAACGAAAACAAAAAAGGTCACTCAGGATCATTTGCACTTAGTGCACCTCTGCGAGGAGTGAAGGCAGTTGATAAGTTAATAATGATCAAATTTATCTTACTTACAAGTTACCTTAAAGATTAAGCTTTTAAATACCTGAGCATATAAAACAGATGCAGTGTTATACAGTAAATGAAGTATGTACATTTTCTGCTACCTATACAACATTAAAGTTATATTAATAATCCAGTAGTATAAAATATAATACCATAGTTCTGTCAGAGACTGGGTACTTTTACTTTTATACTTTACTTTATACATTTGAATGCGGCACTAATATTTGTAATTGGCCATATGTTACCCTACAGTGTTTTGACACAGGGGTCTTTTAATTAGATAAAAGAGTTCAGTAAGAGTTCACATCAGCCCATTTGCTTCTGAGAGGTACCCATCTGAAAACTCTGCATCAGATGCATTCGAAGAGAGAAGTGTGGTTTGGAAATGGAGTCAGACAGATTCAGCACACCGACACTGTGACACCGTTGCCACAAACTCCCCCCTACTGCAGCTACTACCCGCTGGCTGCTCCGCCATGAAAACACAGACCTAAAATCAACACAAAACAAACTAAAGGACAAACATAAACAGGGCTATGACTAAGGATTATTTTCAGATTATTTTCTCAATTCTTTGCTTGGCCTGTCACAGTAACCCTGAAACCTGATGTGACATCCTCGTGGTGCTTGTTTTGTCAGAGCAACAGTCCAAAAGCCTAAAAATATTCAATTTGCTCTCACATTAGACTGAGGAAAGCTTTGGGAATTTTGCCATAAAAAATGATATTAGTGATTAATCAAAGATGAAAATATTGCTGATTTATTTTCTGTTGATTGATTACTTGCTTCAGCTCTGAACAAAAACAAAACCTTTTGAGTAATATTCACAGCAGGGCTGTATTGCATTATTACACAGGTGTTTTTCTGTTCACTCACTGTACGTCTACTCTATTTGCTACATGTTTACTGTATGTACCAAAATTAGACGTGACAGGTGATACTTACTTTAGGTGACCAATTTTAGGCCCCAAATAACAGCCCTAACAGTGTTTGTTGTAACCCGAACGTGCCTGTGTGATAACACGCGTTAATGAGTGCTTCTGCAGAATACACAGGGAAGAAGTCGTATGCCCGTGAGTGAAGTTAAGCCTGGTGGGTCTGCATGTCTGATAACACGTCTACTTCCTTGTGCAGGGACACATCAAAACATCAGCACGCACACACACACACGGTGCACAAAAGTGTAACTACACTGTACCACTGCACATAGTGAACTGAGCTCAGTGTTCTCACAATAAGAGTTCACTTGAGATTAATGCTCGGCTACTGCTGATGGTTGTGTTTCCCTCAAGAGCCAGAATTTAGAGTTTACAGGCCAGTGTGTTGATTCATTTAACAAAATATATATTTCACACAAACACACATGAGTACTGTTTAGACACACATACATAAAAAAAATATATATTTAGTTTTACACTCACTACTTCTGACCGTCCGTCCCTGCAGGCGTTCTGGAAGCGAGCTTGTCTCTCTTCATGGGGCCGGTCTCTGAACCCAGTGTATTTAATCTAGAATGAAAAGAAAAGCTTAAACAATATATATACACTCACATGTATAGTAATATACTCTGAGGACACTGCATGTGTTTGATTTGGGAAACAGTCCATATGGGGCTGTTTGACAGTGAATAATGATGCCTGTTGCCAGCAGTAGGCTGTAATTTGAAGATAAGCCACAGGAATTTTGATTGATCCAAAGGCTTCATTCTTTGTCTCTGCTTTTCATCAGAATTATAAAAAAATCTATAAAATAAACTAAGAAGTAAGAATTATTTTTTTTAGATTGATTTGAGCACAAAACGAGCAAGCAAAAAATAAAAGAGCAAATTATATAAGAATAAGAGTAAAAAGACCAAAGAAAATCAATTCCTCTCTATTTCATAAAGCCAGAGTGAAACAACTTATTGCAATGCACTTTAATACACTTTCATTCTTCTGCTTTTTTGGGGGCGATTTAAACCAATTGTAGAAGTTCTCGGTCTGAAGTTACTGAATTAAATGCAGTAACCTGTAAGCTGAAAGCAACCGGAGCCGCCAGCAGCATGCTTTCCTCCGCTAACGAGCCCTGTTCTCTCTCTCTATTTCCGCCGTCTACAGAAAGGATCCAGACTCACCTCACACTCCCTGCTCAACTTGCGGAAAAACTCCTCATTCTCAAACTTGCTCCTCTGGTCCGGGACTACCCGCGGCATCTTCACCAACACTTTCCGGACTCTTGACTCTCACTTTTTTAGTCCTTTTTTTTTTTTTTTTT